CACCAACGTGACACCAGCGGAGTTCGCTGATCTGCGGAACAGCCTCGGGCTGTCAGGGGCGATCGCGCACACGATCTCCTCCCCCTCTTCAACCAAGACGGCCTCATCCCATAAGTACGGAAGGACTCTTGGGGGCCTCTTGAGGGCCTTTTTGAAGCGCCTTGGAGGCTTCTTCCAGGCCATTTTGGGAGCCTCTTGAAGGACTCGTGGAGCCTCTTGGGAACCTCGGGGGGACCTCGAAGGGCCCTCTTCGGCCTGTCAGGGGCCTCTTGTGGGGCCACTCGGTAGCCGCCGTGGACGTCTTGGGCACTCTAAAGACCAAATGAGCGAGAGCATGCTGCCACCGGGCATGAACCAGCGGTGTCTCCATTGCTTTTGATACCTTGTTGGGGGGCTCCAGGGGGCTTGCGGGAAGGCTCTGGGGGGCTCGTTGCGGGGCTTGTTGGGGGACTCGTGGAACCTCCAGGCCGCAACCGCTCTGCCCAGCTTTCGTCGCCTGCCGCGGCGACCCCGGGGCATCCAGGACCGCCCAGGCGCCCACGGGCCCAGACATCCTCCGAGATGAATCTTCAACACGCGGCGCTGGAGCTGCCCCCTTCCTCGGAAGCAGGTCTGCATCCCGGATCCGTTTCTGGTGGTCCTCGGGCCTGATAAGAGGCACCACGTGGCGACATCAAGGAAAAGTGCCCGGATCGAGCAACTCATCAGGATCTCTGGTGGCAGTCTGGGCCCCGATCGAAACAATCATCAGGGGAGGGCGTGGGGTTCTGTGGTGGCGGTCTGGGCTGCGTCCTGCGCTGTCCTTCCCGCTTCCTCTTCCTCCAGACTTCGAGGGCGGGGCAGGCTGGCCTCCTCCCCCTCCTGCTCCTCGTCCTCGTCCTCGTCCTCGTGCCCGTCCTCGTCATCGCCCTCTTCCTCCTCCTCCTCCTCCTCCTGCTCCTCCTCCTCCTCCTCCTGCCTCCTCCTCCTCCTCCTCTTCCCATCCTCGTCCTACCTCCTGCCCTTCACTGAACCTTCTGTAGGCGCTGCCCTCCCCCTCCTCCTGCTCCCGCCCCAGCTCGTCGTCCCTCCCCCGAGGAGAAGAGGAGCATGAGCATGAGCATGAGCAGGAAGAGGAGGAGGACGAGGAGGAGGATGAGGAGGAGGAGGAGCGAGAGGAGGAGGAGGAGGAGGAGGAGGAGGAGGAGGAGGAGGAGGAGGAGGAGGAGGAGGAGGAGAAGGAGGAGGAGGAGGAGGAGGAGGAGGAAGAGGATCATCGGTGCGCGGCAGCAGCGCCGAGAGGGGGGAAGAAATGGACCACTGGGAGTCAGGAGAAGGACGAGGAGGACCGAGGAGCGGCGGCAGTCATTCCCCTTCGACTGACTCTTCCTGATGCTTCTCCCCTTGCTGCTCCTCTTGCCCCTCCTCCTCCTCCTGCTGCTCCTCCTCTTCCTCCTGCGACACTATGGGTCCAAAGGTCCTGCACTCGAAGGGCGCAACTTGGGACAGCCTCCCGCTCCCACCCCTGCCCAGGAGGATGCGGGTGACCCGACGGAAAGGTGCAACAACAATATAATGAGAAGGGCGAGGTGAGAAGTAAGAGTGGCACCACAAAGAAAAGGATCACGAGGAGGGAAAGGACTATGACCATCAACGAACAACTCCCCAGTTGCACAAAGCTATGCTATCTCTATATATCTTTTCCCCCACATCCGCACTCACTCATAATTCACTGGCTCACTCACGCATCTCTACCACTCACCACTCATCATCATGATCATCATGATCATACTGACCATCATCATCATCACTGTCACATCACCATCGTCGTCATCCTCACTATCAACATCCCATCTTGATCACCGACAATCGTTCGTCATCATCACCACCACGCTCATCATCACCATCATCATCAGATGCATTGCACACGTTCCTCCACTCTCTCTCTCTCTCATACACACTCATTTCGAGGAGTCTCGAGCGGGAGCCTCGTCGGTGAACGACTTTCGAGGAAGTCTCAGGCGGGAGCCCCCCACCTACGGGGCCCGCAACTCATGTTAGTAATATGAGCGGGTCAGCCAAAAACTTGTAATTGTCGTCAAGCTTGGGCTCCCGAAGCCTGAACATGGAGGAAATATCAGACGGAAACCTCGTCTGTGAATGACTTGCGAGGAAGTCTCAGGCGGGAGCCCCCTCCCTTTGGGGCCCGCAGCTCTTGTTAGTAATCCGACAGGGCCATCCAAAAACTTATACCAGTCGTCACTTTGAGCTTCGTAGGCCTGGATGTGGAGGAAGTCTCGAGCCGGAACCTCGTGTGCGAGTGAACTGCGAGGAAGTCTCAGGGGGGTCCCCCTCAGCTTATGCCAATAATCCAAGCGGGTCATCCAACAACTTGTAACTGTCGTACCTTTTGGGCTCCTGAGGCCTGGATAAGGGGAAGTAAACAGCGGGAACCTCGTCTGTGAGTGAATCGCGACAAGCGGGAACCTCCTCCCAATGGGGCCTGCAAATCATGTTATTAACCCGAGAGTGTCATCAAACAACCTGTAGCTGTCGTCATTTTTGGGCTCCTCAAACCTGAATGAAGAGGATCTATCAAGCGGGAGGCCCCAGGACGGCCCCAGAGGCCTGCAAGACGCCCAAGATGACCTCCAAGACGGCCCTGAAACGCCCAAAGAGGGCCCCAAGTCGGTTCAGAGAAGCATCCAAGACGGCTTCCGACGGCGTCAGACGGGTCAAGAAGACCCTAAGATGGCCAAAGCGGCCCCGATTAAGCCGTCAAGGGCTCCCAAGAGGCCCAAGGATGCACCCAAAAGGCTTGGCTTCCCAAAGGACCCCAGGAAGCTCCCAGGAAACCTCAAGAATGCCCCAAGAGTCTTCCAAGAGGCGTCTTCCTCCTCCCCCTCCTCCTTCTCCTCATTCTCCTCTCCCTCACGTGTTCCCCGAAAGGTTTCAACGACAGTTGGGGAAACACCTGGTCCGATAGCTCTAGCCCAACTTTCGGCCACATAGGCGCTTCTCCAAAGACATCGGGTGGCGGTGATTCGCCGTCGGCGTCTTCGATATATGTATGTCTGTTTCATAGTTAGCATCTCTAGCAACACGTACATGCATGTGAAAGTAAAACAACATATGCGAAAACGGTGGGGACACACGCGCACACACTCCCAGGGGAGAAAGGACAATAGTATTCCTATTCGGACACTGTGAACGGGTGAACGGGCGAGGGCGAGAGGAGCACGGGCGAGGCAGAGCAGGGGGAGGGAAGAGATGGACAGGGCGCGCTGGGTGCGCTCGCGCCACATCAGACGGTCACCGATTCCTCCTTGTTGCGTTGATCGTTGGCTCTTCTTCTCCCCACCCAGCGGGACGTCCCAGAAGACCTTGGTCCCCCGATGACAGCCGCAACGTTTGACACATCGTGAGCTGTGCAATCTTCCAAAAGGGGCCTGCTGTGCCCTGGAGAGGGGGAAGCAGCAGCCGGAGCAGGAGGAACAGGGGGGAGGCGGAGGAAGGGAACCGCGGAGGTGGGCAGAAGCGCCTCGCGGCGCGACGATATGCCATCCCGAACGGCGGAGGCAGCGCACCGATCCTTCAGCGGGGTCGGTGCCGCAGCGGGAGCACTGCTCTGCGCGCACAGAGTGCCCCATGGCCCCGAGCTGAAAGAGCGCAGGCGCGAGACCAACATCATGCAGTCCTCCTCCTCCTCCTCCTCCTCCTCCTGCTCCTCCTCCCCCTCCCCCGCCCCCTCCTCCTCCTCCTCCTCCTCCTCCTCCTCCTCCTCCTCCTTTTCCCTCCTCCTCTCTCCTCCTTGCGCTGGAGGTGCGGGAGCGAGACGGGACGTCGCCAGGGGCGAGGAAAGATCGGCGGCGCGCCTGGGCCTGCTCAGCAGGCTCGGGGGGCCTCCGGCCTGCCGAGCGAAGCTCTCCGAGGCTCGCCCGAAGCCGCGGAGGGGAGGAGCAGGAGGAGGAGGAGGAGGAGGAGGAGGAGGAGGAGGAATATGAGGATGAAATAGGAGGAATATGAGGAGGAGAATGAGGAGGAGGAGGAGGAGGAGGAGGAGGAGGAGGAGGAGGAGGAGGAGGAGACGAGGACGATGACGAGGAGAACGAAGAGGAAGAAGAGGAAGACGGAGGAGGCTGAGAAGGCACGGGGGGCTTCTGAGAAGCACCGCCTCCTTCTGAGGCGGCCTGCCCCCTCTCACCTTCCACCCTCGGCGCGCCGCCGAGGTCTCGCTCCTGGAGCGTGTGGTGCTGCTGTCGTGTACTTGTGGGGGGGAGATGGGACACAGGGGGCGGGGGACGGGGAGAGACGAATGGGGAGACGGGGAGAGGGTGAGCGTGAGGAAGAGGGGGACAGAGGGGGAAGCAGGGGGGAAGGGGATGCACAGGTATGATCAAGACGAGGTGTTTCAGCGACAAACTTGAGGGAAAGTCGAGCATTTGTGCTCAGACTAGCCGGTGGTAGGCATGGCGATTGAACTGGTCGGAGACATTCCGAATCCATGATAGCCTGGGGGACTCGCGAACAAAAATTGGGCTGCACGCTGGCCGGTGCTCGCGATGCCTGCCAATAAGAGGCAAAGCTAAGCAACGACAAAACAAAAACTTGCTCCTAGAACTTGATGCAGGCCTCCTCTGGTTTCACGCGGCTGGTAGCAACTGCGATACTGCAAACCAGGAGGGGATTCTTTGGGCTGTGGCGGAGCTTCTCGGGAAAGTCCAGCGGCAAAGTGTAAATCAATATGCACTGGGTTGCTGATTCTGAAACGTTGCCGTCTCAGCCAATCCATACCGAATTCATCTCCTGCAAGCTTTCAGGTCATCGTTTCGGTAGCGGCACCATGCGTGCCGCTCGACCACGCTTAGCAACCTTCGTCCAGAGGAGATGCTCAATTAGGCTTGCAACAGTGGCTCAACATATGTGGCGATCTGCGTCGGACTCGTCCTCGTCGTCTCCATCTTCGTCGTCCGCTGTGTCCGTGGAGTCTTCGTCCTCGCTCGCCTCTTTGTCCGTGCCTCTCATCTTCGTGTCGGCGTCCTACGAAGAAGAGAAAACAACTGCATCAGCGACAACTTTCGGAGCTCCGCGCGGATCTCTTGGTCGGCGCTGGCCCCCCTCTCTGGCGCGCGGCGCGTGCCAAGGGCGGCGCCGGAGGCGCCGCCAGGGGGGGCCAAGCGCCGGTCCAAGAGATCGGCTTGGACCTCCGAACGCTTGGGCTCGCGCTGTCTTCTGCTCGTCCGTTCCTGCAGCTCCGCGGCGATCTCGAGCCGCCTCTCCTTGCTGATCACGCGGTAGCACCCCACCCTGGACCACCAGATCGAGAAGGCGATGGCCCCGACCACGATGGCGGCCCCGAGGAGCCCGCCGAGCGCGAACGACCGATCCATGAGTGTGGAGACGCCGATCAAGACACTAGGGATCGCTATGAAGACGACGAAGACATAGACGAGCGGGGTGGCCCGAAACTCGGACGCGTAGAGGCCAAGCGTGGTGGCGCCGAAGATGATGAATGAGCGCATGTAGGGGACCGGGTACCAGATGAGTATGCCGAAAATGTTGAAAAAGAGGTGGCACAATGCGACGTGAATGGCGTTGAACTTGAAGACGGTGAGAGCCGCAATCATGGCGGTGCAGCAAGTTCCAATGTTCGCCCCCAAGGTCAAGGGTAGCATCTTCTCCAGGGTGATCAGGCCGAGAGCCGCGAAGGGAGTCAGAGCGGAAGTGACGACGGAACTTGACTGCGCCACAAGAGTCATGCCGAGGCCAACGAGCATCGCGAGGTAGTTATTCAATTTGGTTGCCGCGACGATGCACTTCTTTGCCTTGCCCGAGAACAGCCAATGCAGTATCTTTGTCACCATAAAGAGGCCAAGTATCAGAAGCACCAGGGAGATAACGAGAGCCACTAACCCACCCCACGTGTCGCCCAAGGGGTGCAATAACCCTCCCTTGATGACCTCGTGTTCATAGACATGGTGCTGATAATACTCTCCGCCATTGATATAGCATTTTTCAGTTTCCGCGCAAGGCGAGGCGGGAACGGTGACGTAGCCGTCACAATGAACCAACGTCTTGTAGCCGGACTTGCTGATCTTCTTGAAGTACCCGTCTAAATCCTCGCCGATGCAGAACACGCTCGAACAATCCTGCAGAACCCCTGAGACGTCTTCCATGCGCCGGCTGATAAGCGCGCTGGGAGCCCCCAAGCGCCTGGACGCGTTGGCCAAGGGCTCGCACGCATCCAGGTTGACGACCTCGGACGGGATCGGGGTGGGGGCGCCGAGGGACAGTGCGTAGATCACGTACTTGTTGTTCTTCAAGAAGATCTCCTGGATCGGCTTGGTGATGTGCAGAAGAAGAGAGCGGCGCAACAGAGCCAAGCCCTCGGAGGTCCGTGCGGACTTCTTGGGCCTGCGCTGGACCCTTCTCCTCTGGCGCGTTCCGCGGGCAGGGGGGCGGCGCCGGAGGCGCGGCCATGGGTCAAGTGCTGCCAAAAGTGTCCATGGCCTGAAGTCGGGCGCGTCCCCCTACAGGGGGATTTTCGACGAATAAAAAACACCCCAAACATACCCCCCAAAGATCAAAAAATACTCAAAAGATAGTCCCCGGACTATTTTTGGATTATTTTGGACATTTTTTTGCATTTTTCGGCGAAGATCCCCCTGTAGGCGGACAGGCCCGACTTAACCATGGCCCCAAGGTGCCCCCAGGACTTCCAAGGATACCCCCACGGCCTCCAGACCACACCTCACGAGGCCCAGAGGGCCCCAGGGCTCCCAAAATGGTGCGCAACGCTGGGGGCACCTTGGGCCAGGACCGCTTCTCCACTCCGAGTGCGCCCAGCGTGGTAGCCACTCGACGTTCAAAAACAAACGGATGTATCTAGCGAGCCGCACATCGATAAGCGAACCCGACTGGGGACTGCACACTCGAACGCCAATGTCGAGTCACCCAATGCAGATTTCCTCAGTCGACCTGTCTGGGCGGGCGTTCTCTCAATGCCCTCCAGAACTCCTGGCAACACCACCAGGGGGGGCCAACGCCGACACGAGAAATCCGCGCGGATCTCCGAAACCTTGTGCCTGCGGCGCCTTCCCTTCCTCGGGATCAACTTTATGGGGGAATCGAAGACCTCGCCGCTCTGCTCGCCGCCCATGAGCAGGATGGTGAGCCAGTCCGTCAGCCAGAACAGCGGCCCGCCCTGGCCCTGAATTGCCTGGATGATCACCTGGAGGACCAACAGGCGGCAGAAACGTACACTTTCGGAGCTCCGCGCGGACTTCTCGCATCGGCGCTGGTCCCCCCTGGCGGCGCCTCTGGCGCGCTGCACTCGCCAGGGAGGGGGATTACGGCGCCGACTCAAGAAATCCGCACGGACCTCCGGGAGTTGGTGTTTGTGCAGCTTTCCTGCTCGCCAAGCACCTCCAGAGGCAGGAGCGTCGCGACGCTCAGCAGGTTGAAGCAGTCGTGGACGGTCGCAGCCGAGAAGGCGCGCTGGAGGTCCACCCTGTCGCCGGCGAAGCCCATGGACACGATGGTGTTCGTCACAGACGTGCCGATGTTCGACCCCATGATGATGGGGATGGCGTTCTCCACCGAGAGCTGCCCAGCCCCCACGAGACCCACCACAACGGCGGAGGAAGAAAGAACGGCAGAGGCATAAACTTTCAGAGCCTCGCGCGGATCTCTCGGATCGGCGCTGGCTTCCCCTCGCCGGCGCGCGGGGGGCGCCAGGGACCCGGCGCCAGAGGCGCCGCCAGAGGGCCCCGGGGCAAATCCGTGAGGTCCACGCGGAGCTCCGAGATGTCTTAGGTTCATGCAATCTTTTCTTCTTCGAGATGGACGTGCTGGTGGACGACGACTGCACCAGCACCGTGGCCAGAACGCCGACCATGAGCCCCGCGATCGTCGGGTGTTGCCAGAGATGTCCCTGGCCCGAGACGCCCCCAGGATCTCCAGGGATGCCCAGAGGACCTCCAGGGCACCCCTCACGAAGCCGAGGGGAAGGGCTCCCAGACGGCTCGAAGAACTGGGGGCACCTTCCCTGAGATCCAACGTTGCAAACAATTGCAACATCGGGAAAAAACCTCGACCAGAACCCTAGACCCCATTTTTCTTGGGCATTTCTCGTGAAATCGGCTACACGCAAGAGCGACCCTGGGTAAGAGTGACCTTTGGTGCGCGGCTTTCGGGGGGCCGAGGGGGGACCAAACCTGGGCGCGCAAGCCGCTGCTCCTGCTTCGTTTTCAGCCATCTGGGGACCCATCTGTGCCCGCACCAAAGGTCAGTCCGGCGCAAGGTCACCCTTACGTCTAGTCGATGAAAGAGTTGTGCAGCCCGGTGTTGCGGTTGGGCCAAGATCACCTCTGGCACCGCCCGAAATCGGGTTGTCCAGGCCGCTGAAGATGCTGCCGGCCCCTTTCCCGCCCATCGCCTTGAACGACTCGCCCAGCAGCTGCAGCCCGCACAGGAAGACCCACAGCGAGCCACACACCCCGATGAGCCCGCCGACGAGGCCGAGCGTCGTGGTCGGGCCCTTCTCTTCGGCCTTGCGAGGCTCCTCTGATTATCGTTTAACCAATCCTTATCCCCACTGGCATGGCCTTGGCCCCACTGGCCGGCTTTCGCCACCCAGGTGGAGATGTCTGATCAAGCGTCGAGGGCCCACGGGTCCCGCCCCCAGATGGGATGGGCCCCAGGATTCCTCGGACTCCCCCCCTGATGGGATGTGAGGGGGGCGACGACGACGACGGCGACCACGATGGCGACGGCGACGGCGACGGCGGCGGCGACGGACGACGGCGATGGCGACGGCGACGACGACGACCATGACAACACCGCAGCACCACCCAACACCCATTGAGGGAGGGGGGGGCACCGGCACCCCCACCATGCCACGCCCACAGGGCTACGACCACAGGGGGGGGACCCATCGCGCGGGGAGTGGGGGCCGTGAGTTTTTTTTTTTTTTTTTTTTTTTTCCTCGGGCCCGGGGCCACTGCTAGTTACTTGTTTATCGTTTATAGTCGAAGAATCCGCCACCCCGCACGGGGTAATGAGTGAAAGCGACAGCAAAATAGATGAGCTCAATGATCGTCATACACGAGGCGCCTGGCTCGCGACTTCTCCGCGCCCCTCTTGACCCAGCGGCGCAGCAGTTTCTGGGGCGACACGCCCGTTGCCGCAGGCGTGAACCGGAGGTAATTGGTAGTGCGGTACACGCCGTAATTGACCAGCGCCATTCGCACGACATCTTCTGGAGAAGTTCCTGGGTCCAGGAGGAAGAATGCAAGCATAGTCGGCGGCGATTTCACGCCCAATCCAGCAGGTCTGTCTCGTTGCAGATGGCTCCACACAGCAGGACATATACTGTAGTGCTCGATGCTGTCGTCGCCGCTCTTGCAGCCGAGTAAGCACTGCCACGGCTCGCCGACCCATCTTTCTCTGCGTGCCTCATCCGACGACGGGTGGCCCAGCCGTTGAATAACGTGCGGAGGTATGCCGACGCCACCCTGGGCGGGCACCACTTATGCAAAATTTCGAAAGCCTCCTGGACAGGCGCCACCAGCGCCGCTTCGTCGCCTAGAAACTTCCACCGGGCAAGCTTGTGAGCAGTGCGCTGTAGATGGTCAGGTCGGCAATGGCGATTGATCAGATCGGTTGCAATAGACTGGAAGCTGGCTGGGCCAAACCCAGCAGGGCCGTTCAGCACCCTCCAGATCTGGCTGCGGCTGATCCCGTCCTTCTCCAGTTGCTGCTCTGTGCGGTGCAGGATTGCGAACAAAGAATTGGCGTGCCAGCTCCCGAACGGGCCTTGCAGTACTCCTTCATCAAGCATGCGCAACTCTTCGACGCGCTCTTTGCAGTCCGGGGCGACAGTTTCAATCGCTCTCAGCTTAGCGGCCCGTGCAACGCAGCGAGGTTGAGCGAATGAAAACTTGAACCCGAATGCCTCTCGTAAGTTGCACAAATCTTCAGGCATGATCCAGTTCCCAGGGCCCGGAGCCAGGCGGCGTAACGCCCAAGAAAAGATGTTATCCATGTCCCCTGGCAAATCCTGAAGCTGCATCACGAAACTCAATACCGATATGATGAACGTGTTGGACACAATGCTGTTCAAGAAAAGTCCAAGGTGCCTTTGTGCCCAGCTCTGCACGCGCTTCGTGAATTTCTCGAGAGGCTTATCCCATGACATGTTGCCGGCGCCTGGCCCCACCCAGTAACCGAGGTATTTTCCGCGAAGGGAAATCAAAATGTCCCTCCACTGCGGCGCCACCTCGCGAATGAGCGCCCTGACGTTGGACTCCGACTGGAAGCGCCATAATGGGATAAACACTGTCTTCTTGATATTGAGAGCCAACCGGGATATCTTTTCAAATTCAGAGAACAATTTGCTGATAACCGGAACCGCCACCGCATAATCTGCGATTGCTGCAGCCGTGTCATCTGCGAGCGCTCTCACTACTTCGTGCCCAGAAAGATGCCGCGAGAGCTCTCGAAGCAAGATATCTGCACACATCGCGAACAGCAGCGGTGATAACGGGCAGCCCTGCCGGACTTCGCTCTCCACGGTGATGCTGTCGAAGAACTGGCCGCCCACTTTGATCTCATGCTTGTTCCGGACATAGAACATTTTCAACGCGCGTATAAATTCTTGCGGGAGTCCAACAGCCTCCAGCGACTCCCACATGAAGGAGTGGTCCATGCTGGGGAACGCCGCGCGGAAGTCGAACAGCAGAATGCATCCCCGGCGCGACGTCAGGGAAATCTTCTGGGCGGCGAAATCGATCTCCAGAATGTTCCTCAGCATCTGCCTGCCTGGAATGAACCCCCTCTGCGACAAAGAAATACGATGAGCCACTGCCTTCTCCAGCGCCCTCCGGAAGATAGATGCAAGAATGCGGTTGCTCGCGTCCACAACGGACAGCGGGCGCGTGTTCCCCGGCTCGTAGCACTCCGCGCCGTTGGGCAATGCGGTGCCAGACCCTTTCGGCAAGCAGATCACGAAAGCCAAGTTGAAGTCGTCCGGCGGCTCGATCACCCCTTGCAGCATGCCCAACAGAATGTCATACAATAAGGGGGAAATAATATGTTTAATCAGCGTGAAGACAGCAAAAGGCACGCCATCCGGGCCAGGAGCAGAAGATGGAATATCGTTTAATACAGCATCAACGTCTTCGATGGAGGGCGTAAGGTCCGAGAGGCTCGTGGTCAAAATGCCGCGACATCGTTCCAGCCATTTCCTCCGTAGCGTTTGATCAGTAGCCTGGATCTTGAAGGTCCCCTGCCAGTGGTCAGATAAAACGCGTGCAATGAGGGGCGGGTCGGAAACCACATCGCCGCTCCCAGGGTCCTTCACCGCTTGTATTGACCCAGACGCTCCAGGAACAAGTTTGGACAGATGTGCCAAGATGTTTGCCCTGCGCTGCCTGTATACTTCGTCCGGGAGACTGTCCTGTCTGGCCCGGAGCTCCTCCAGCCTGTCAGCCGCTTCAGCGTGTGACAACTCTATGGCGTGATCCTGGAGCGCCGCGAAGCACGGGTGCTCGGCCGCTCTAGGTGTAGGCGGCACCTCCCGCAGCCGAGGGTAGATGCACTGCATTTGCGCGGTGCCCTTCTCGTCGCCATGGACCACAGCCCGCAGAAAACGTACAGTGGCAGCCAACTTCTCACTGGATGTTTGCGCCTCCCGTCCTGCCCGGGATTGCTGCACCTCCCTAGCAGCGCGTTTGGCCGCCGTTTTCACCTGCTGCAGTTTACGGAACGATGGGACTCCAGCGGCCTCCATACATGTGACCGCCGACTCTTTCAACCGTGTCGCAAAGCCATCGTCGTTCAAGATCCACGATGGGAATGGGAAGGGTTGTGTCCGCATCTTCGGCCGGATGCCAAACGACACAGGGTTGTGGTCTGAGAGCTTCGACGGGCAATCCTTGAGAAAACAGAAGGAATCGACGCATAGCAGACTGCCTGGATGAATGTTGGAGTACACGCGGTCCAGCCGGGAGAAGACGGAGGCGCTCTCGAATGTGAACTGGTCCTGCTCCCACTCTACTACACCACGTGGTCCCATGCATCTGTGCCACTCCGCCGCCGCATTGCGGTCTGCAGTGGACCAAGTGCCAGTGCGTTTCACAAACCGGTCCGTACATGAGCAAACAAAATTGAAGCCCCCGAAAATGATGCAATGCGCTGCCGGGTTGACGCTGTGAGCAATCAAGCGGGTCAGTTCGATATGCCGGTCCTCCTCGCAGGGGTCAAAGTAAACAGTATACCAATATAGTGACCCTTTCGCCCCCCTGAGCCGTTGGACAGCAACGCGGCCACGCTCCAAAACCTCCCATTCAAGTTCAGAGAATTGTTTCAGAAATGTGCCTTTGATCACAAGTGCTATGCCCCCGCTATGCTGGTCCAAGAATGAGCTGAAATATGCATTCCCGTCTGGCAGATAATCTGAAAGAACGGCTTTGCGTTCCTCGGTCTCCCTCGTCTCCGATAGGCCGACGAAGTCGTGGGGCCCCAGCAGCGACAGAACATGCCTGATTGTGTCAGGCTCGTCGTAGGCATACAATGAGCGGCAGTTCCAACATGCCCCCGCGAATGTATCAAGAAATGGAGCTGCCAATGTAGATGCGCTTTCCAATGGACTGGAAGAACTGGAAGAAGAGCTGGAAGAAGAGGAAGCCGAGCCAGAAGAAGACGAGGAGGAAGAGCCCTTTGACGAACCAACAGGAACCTGAGGGAGGGAATGGCGAACAGCAGCACGACGGCGAAGATGGAGGCCATGTGCTGGAACCTTCCGAGGGCCTGGACTACTCCATGCGGTACGGTGCCTGATGACGACACGTTTTGGATCCTACTCGTCATCATCTCGACGCCCCCCTCGTTGTTCAAACCACTCCTCAATCCAGCCCTGGATGGTATCCTTTGCCACGGCCCATTCCTCGACTGTGCTCACGACCGCGTCCCCCGACACCCACGCAGCGAGTTTGCCGTCCAATTTGACCTCCCCTTTCTTCCACAAGATCCGGATGGATTTGGGATCCTTCCCACCCTCCTCCACCAGGTAGTGTTTGATCAGGCCGAGCGCCCTGTCCCGCCCACGAGCCTTAAAGGACCTGTTGTCGGAGAACCACAGCTTGACCCCCCCACTCACTTCCCTGTTAGCGTCCCGGATGGTGCGGTAGAAACCTTTTTTTGCAGCTTCCGACGGAAAAGTGATCACCCCGATCCTGGCCGGGTCCGTGAAAGTGGACACCTCCTCCACCTTCGACCTCCTGCCCTCCTCCTTCAGGAACTCCTCGATCTTCCCCACCACCTCCTTCTGCTCCATTTCCTCCGTGAACCCCCCGACGATAATCTGACGGGACCGGAAGGCGTTGTCATCGTGCGACTCGCCCTTGCTCGTATTCTGCCCCACCTTCCAGTCCAACTCAGCGCGTAGAGAACGAACTGCTTCCAATGCCGAGCTGGCCATTTCCGATGCTTTCTCTGCCCGAGCCCTGGTGGTCTGAAGCTCTTCCGTCAACTTGCATATCTCCTTCTGCATCGGGGCCAAGATTTTATTCACCGACCGCTCGAACCTGGAGGCCATGCGGGACTCCATGGACTCGAACCTCGACTCGAACCTCGCCATCAATCGGTCTTCCCAACCACCTGATCCCCAAGAGTCGTCTCCCCATCCCTCACCTGTTCGTGACATCGCTGCCTCCTCCCCCTCCCAAGAGTAATGGCCGTAGTCGCGATCGAAGCGAGGTGCGACGCCGTCTTTCGAATGCCCCTTGCCTTTCTTATTCGGTGCCTTCTCTGGAGTGCTGGGTGCAGGGCGCCCCCGCTTGCAATTGCCACATGTACCGCAAAGGTGCCATACGCAATCCTCGCACGCCCAACGACGAATGCTACCCGGTATGATGTCCCCGCACTCGTCACACTCGAGGTCTGAAGGATACTGAACACGGGCCAAGGGCCCGGTGCATTCACCACAAAGTAGACTCATAGTCCCAAGCCGGTTCTGAAGAACGCCACTCCGGCCACGCAGCGAGGAAGAAAGAGAAGACGGATGCGCAGGGAGCGAGCCCAAAATGTCTTGAGCCAAGGCCGTGAGAAGGCATCTGCATGGGAGGCGGGGAAGGCACCAGAGCTCGAGCCCTCAGGCCACCCCCTCTGCGTGATAGGTTCCCCCTGTGGTCGTGGCCCCGTGGGCGTGGAGTGGCGTGGTGGTGGTGGTGGGCGTCGTCGTCGTCGTCGTCGTCGCCCCTCCTGCCTGGGTCGAGGGTACACAGGGCCCCCGCCCCCCCAGATGGGCCCCAGGGTTCCACAGGCCCCCCCCCCGATGGGATGATGGGGGGGACGACGACGCCGACGCCGACGCCGACGACGACGACGCCGACCCGACGCTGACGCCGACGCCGACGCCGACGCCGACGCCGACGACGACGCCGGACGACGCCGACGCCGACGCCGACGCCGACGCCAACGCCAACGCTGACGGCGACGCACGACGGACGACGGACGACGGACGACGACGACGACGAACCACCCCACACCCTCAGGGGAGGGGGGGGTGAACTGGCACTCTCCACCAAGCTACGCCCATCTGGCAACGACCGCGGGGGCGGGAGCGATCCCATTCGCGAGGCCTTCGCGAGGCCCACAGGCGTATCCCTCCAGCGGGGGGGGGGACCTCGACCCTCTGTGCGTTCGGGGGGGGGGCACCCCTGGAGGATATGTGATCCAGCGCTCTGGCTCACTCCCCCTCCAGTGTTGGTGGGACCGCCCCCCCGTCCACCCCGCTGGACGGGTACGCCCGTGAGCCTCGCGACGGCCTCGCGAATGGGACCGCCCCCTCCTCCCTCCCCTGTGGTCGTGGCCCTGTGGACGTGGCGTGGTGGAGGGTGAACGTTGTCGTCGTCGTCGTCGTCGTCGTCCGTCGTCGTCGTCGTCGTCGTCGTCGTCGTCGTCCCCCCCAATCCCATCTGAGGGGGGGTGGCCTGTAGAACCCTAGAACCAATCCCATGTGGACGGGCTGCGAACCCTCGGCCCGGGATCATGCATGCCCGTTGCCTCGGGTTTCGCAGGGCCCATCCCTACCTGGGAGGGTGGGCCTCACTGGTAGCCTGGGGGCAGGTTCGACCATGCGGATCCTCGGAGTCCCGAGCTCTGGGCTCGCCGTCGACCATCTCGAGCTCGCCGAGTTCTCTCTAGCGGCGCGCCGAGAGTGGACGTGACAGGGGGCAGGCCTCCTCAGAAGGCGGCGAGGCTTCCCACAAGCCCTCGGGCCTTCCTCGGGGGCGCGCAAACATGGATTAGCGATCCATGGATTTGGCGCGCGGTCGCCAAATCCATGGAGCGGGGGAGGTGCCCTCCCCAAAATGCGGCCGCTGCCGCCTCGTTCGACGGCGGACATCCGCGATTCCTCATGAAAACGGGACCCGTCGCTAATCCACGCCCCCTTGATTCATGTTTCCGATCGCCTGCCTTCTGAGAGGCCCTCTGTGGCGGAGGTCTTCTGAGCCTTCTGAAAAGGCCCGCCCCCTCGGCCCTCCCCCCTGGGCGCGCCGCCGCTTATGGCCTCTCGCTGCGGTGACCGCGGCGCTGCGGGACCGATGCCGAGCTCGAGTCGCCTGAGCCACTGTGGCTGCGGATCGGTCTCCTGCAAGGTCGCGCTCGGCACCTTCTGGGCGCCCAGCGCGGCGCAGCTGTGCCGAAGACTGCCAAGCCAGAAACTCTCGCGGAAACTCGGAGGGAGACTCTGCTGCGTATGTATGTCTTTCATCTTCCCTCCTCCTCCGCCTCCTCCCCCTCTCCTCCTCCCCCTCCTCCTCCTCCTCCTCCTCCTCCTCCCTCCCCCCCCTCTCCCTCTTCGAACCGTGCCTGGCATGCAGTGGAATGCCCTCAAGTCGTTGATGGCCCCCGACGTTCGAACGTTTGGGGACTCTCCTGACGGCCGCGGGCCCTCGATCGACCTCTGGTCACTCCTGGGCGCTCTCGGGGCCCACCGCGTGGGTTTTCTTCGGATGCACCTCCCAGGAGCTCGTCTTGTGGCTCTCTTTGGGCTCTCAGGCGCTCCCAGGCGCTCCCAAGCGCTCCCAGGCGATGTCTGAGGCCGTGGGAGCAGCTCAGGAGGCCCGAATCGGTGCAGCAGGCTGCGGCAGTTTCGGCCTCCCTTTCAATTTCAGCATTCTGGCCCCTTCGGTCCTGAGAGCGCTCAGAGCGCACAACAAGTGTGGGGGGCAACGATAGGGGGGGATGCATCGACCTGGAATCGGCGATACGTCGCCGATAGATCGGCGATAGGCTCCCCGATAATGAATCCGCACCTCCCTGGGCAGGTTGGGGCTACTGTGCCCCTATCGGCGATCGATGGGCGATTGGGGGTCGATGCATCCCCCCCTATGCCCATCTCGGGGGCGCGCAAACATGGACTAGCGATCCATGGATTTGGCGCGCGGTCGCCAAATCCATGGATCGGGGGAGGTGCCCTCTCCAAAATGCGGCCGCTGCCGCCTCGTTCGGCGGCGGAAATCGCGATTCCCTGAGAAAACGGGACCCGTCGCTAATCCACGCCCCCTAATTCCATATTTCCGATCGCCTGCCCATCCCCCCATCGTTGCCCCTGAAAGGGCCCATGGTCGCCCCAGGGCAGCCGTCGGGGCCCTCGGCGCGGCACCGAGGAGAGGTGCTCTGGAGGGGTCCGCGGGCGGACCTGAAGAACACGACCAGGAAACGTGCCCCCCCCGAAGGTCAGGCGTGTAATGAAAAAACCCAAACAATGCTCAACAATGACCAAAGCATGCCACCAAAAATCGTCCCCAGATTATCTTTTTACTATTCTTGAATATTCCCCCTGTAGAAGGACGAGTCCGGCGTAACCCTAAGACGCCCCGAGGTCCCCGGGAGGCCTCCCACTCCGTGTCCAGGTCGCCCCCCGAAGGGCTCACGCTTCCTCGGGCATGCACCGTCTTTCCAGCCGCGTCCCAGGGGGACCCCCCCGGGCAGGGGTACTCCGAGAGCGTGGCTGCGTGCACGCTGTGGCCTCCAGCCGTTTGCGCTGCGCCTCCGGCCCCCAGTCCGGCGGCGCGCCACTTGCATTGTCGCTGGGACGCCCATTTCCAGTGCACTTTTCGGTTTCGTGCGTTTTTTTTTTTTTTTTTTTTGTTTTTGTTTTTGTTTTTTTTGCTCGATGATCCAGGATGATCCTCGATGGTCCTCGCCGAGAAAAAATGCACACGTCCGAGCGATGCCAAGGCCAAGGGTTAAGTCGGGCCGATCCCCCTACAGGCCGATTTTTTTGAACGAGAAATTAGACATACCCCAAACATGCCCCCCAAACGCCCAAAAATTGTTTAAAAATAGTCCCCAGACTATTTTTGGACTATTTTTGAATATTCCCCCTGTAGAGGCCTCCTTGATGGTCCTCGCAGAGAAAAAATGCACTCGTCCGAGCGATGCCAAGGCTTAAGTCTGGCCTGTGCCTCTACGGGGGAATATTCAAAAATCGTCGAAAATAGTCTGGGGACTATTTTTCGAATATTTTTGGGCATCTTCTGGGCTCTTTTTTTTTGTGTGTGTGAGAGAGAGAATATTTTTGAACTTTTCGCCCGAAATCCCCCTGTAGGGAGACAGGCCCGACCTAAGCCAAGGCCAAGGGGGGAAAGCAGGAGGGGGCGGGCCTGCCCAGGAGGCCCCGGAGGCCTCTCGCAGGGGAACAAAAAGTGGCATAAACATAAAAACTCGGGAGTCCGCTCGGATTTCTCGGATCGGCGCTGGGGCCACCCGGCGGCGCCTCCGGAGCCGCCCCTGGCGCGCTCAGCACGCCAGGGAGGGGGGTCCAGCGCCGATCCGAGAAATCCGCGCGGACCTTCGAGTTTTTATGTTTATGCCACTTTCTGTTTCCCTATCTCGGGCCCTCCGAGAGAAGCCTCCCCGGGAGCCGCCTCCCTGAGAGGCCTTCGCGCGGGGGGCCCCGCACAAGGAGGCGCGGCCGCCGAGGGCTCCGCCGAGGAGCCCCGCCGCCCTCGCGGAAGCCCGGCACGCCGCCGCTCGGCCCGGGGCGCGGCGGCAGGCGGCGGGGCCGCGTCTATGTCAAAAGGGGCCCAGGGGCACACGAGTAAGTACACATAGAGATAGCGGATTCCCCATCGTTTCCCATATCTTTGGACTTTCGTCTTCCCCCCCCGCCCCACTTCCAATGTTTTCCCATGTTTTCCTGGGGATCGACGATTGCTCGTGTCTGTGTTTTTTCCCCTCCTGATGTATCGCGAGACTTGCTGCCGGGCGGACGGGCACTCTGCGCGGCACGGGGTCGCGGGCCCAAACCTCTGGCGGACTGCTCTTGCCAGCCCGCTGGCCCCCCAGGCCCCGCAGCCGCGGGGCCCTCCAGCGCCGCCTCTCCCCCCGCTGTGCTTGCAAGCCTGTGTCGCAGCGGTAGTTGTGCGGACGTCACGCCCCCTTCCTCGTCCTCCTCCCCCTCCCACCTCGTGGTGAGCCCTGCCATGCTTCCCAGTGTTGTAGTGCACGCGCGCCAGTGCTTGCACCTTACGGTTTGCTGTTTTTGCTGCCAATGCGCTGCTCAACGCCTAGCCGCTGTCTGTTTGGGAATCGAGGAAAGGCGCTGGGAGTGAAAAAGTCAATCTGCCGGAAGTCTGAGTCCTTGAAGGCCCGACGACAAGCCGCTCAGAGCCGGGATCCCAAACCCCTCCCAGAGTCTATCCCGACAATTTTATGGAGCTGTGTCCGGCCGGGGCCACGAGGACCATGAGAACCATCTCACCAACCTTCCAAACGACGACGAGGACGACGACAAGGTCCTGGAGATCTCCAGAGATCCTCGGATGCTCCGCCTCCATCCCCGAACCTCGAGCCCCCGACTTGCGTTGGCAACTCCGTGCGGTGGAGGCAGTGGGTATGGAGCCCTGGGATGAGACCACGGGCGGTCTGGGGGCATGGCCTGGACGGCGATGGGGTCCCGCGTGGGGAGCGATCGGCGCCCCCTCCTTGACTATGTTACTTGAACTGGCGCGGTCGTATAAAACCAAAATAATACATTTTTCAAATGTTTTGAAGCTGATATTCGAGGAAGCTTTCTCTTCGTATTCTGAGCACTGCTTCGCGTGTCAAGAGCTCTACGAGGGTCCCGGCGGTAACCTGGTTGACGGTTCACCGCCGGCTCCCAGTTACTTGAGCTGGCGCAGATTGCTAGACCGCCGTGCTGCTTGCAATACGGTCGAGGTCTTCTGCTTAGCGCTTCGCGGCGGCGGCCCCGGCGACACGCTGCGCCGCGCAAGCGGATAGCGTGTCGCTCCGCTCCGCGGGGCGGGGGGCTGGGAAAGGCTCGGGACGTGGATGCTTGGGGACTCGGACGTGGTTAGCGTGTCGCACCGAAGCGCGGTGGGCATCAACAAGCGGTGCGACACGCTAAACCACAGTTCCCGACCGTACGTTGTCCAAAGGAGGCGTAGATGGTGGAATCCCCTTCCCATCAGTTGGGAAGCAGAGTTTTCGAGGGCAAAGAGCGTCCTTGCTGCTGAGCTGATTTCTCTCTATGTCCAGGAGGGCCTTCCTGGCGGCCTCGGCCTCGGCCTCTTGGCGCTTCTTCACGGCGCCTCACGGCAACTCCTTCCTCCTGCCCCTCTTCCTCGTCCTCCTCGTCCTCCTCGTCCTTGCCCTCGTCGTCGTCCTCTTCTTCTTCCTCTTCCTCTCCCTTCTCCTCCTGCTCCTCCTCCTCCTCCTCCTCTTCCTCTTCCTCTTCCTCCCCTTTTTCCTCTCTTCTTCTTCTTCTTCTTCCTCCTCCTCATCCTCTTCCCCCTCCTTCCCCCAGTCCACCTCCTCCTCCTCCAATCGCTGCTGCTACTGCGGCTGGCGCCGCTGCTGCTGCTTCCATTGCCGCAAGCGCTGTCGCTGCTGCTGCCAGTGCTGCCGCATCTTCTGCTGCTGCTGCTCCTCCTTCCCCGCACCCTCCTCCTCCTCCTCCTCCTCCTCCTCCTCCCAACTCTTCCGCCTCCAACTCCTCCTCCTCCTCCTCCTCCTCCTCCTCTTCCTCTTTTCCTCTCCTGTTTCTACCTCGCCTCCTTCTCATCCTCTTCTGCCTCCTCCTCATCGTTCTTCTGATTATGATTGCGGCTGCTGCTCCTCCTCCTGCATATTCTGCCCAACTCCTCAACGTACCATCCCACTCCCTTTCCATACTTCCCTGCCCCTTCACTGACAGCTCCTCCCTTCTTCAAATCTCACTCTCCCCCCTTTGTCCCATATCTTTCGCCCTTTCGTCCCTGACGACCCCTGCGTCCTCCCTCCTGGTCTTATTGCCTCCTCTGGTCAACCCTACGAGCTTGCCAATCCGTCTCGGACCTGAAATCTGCTGTTGCCTGATTCTGGTTCGGTAATGCGTTCCAGAGTGCGCAACACCAAATACGGCCGAACTTTGCACTCCATGCGCCTCTGCTCCAACCAATTCGGTTGTTCCAGCAGTCAGTGTGCAGAGCGATTCTACCATAAA